AATGAACAACGATTTGCAGAGAATGTCCAGAATCCACCCCAATCTTGTATTTAATGCGAGTTAAAAATAAAAATTTACTTTGTGGAAAATTCATCTAATGCACCTTTTTCAACATCCTGTTAAATCAAAATGGACAACTGTATAATTATTACTCTATGTATATATATACATATATAACTGCCCCTCATCTGAGACAGTGTGCACCTCTGGATGGTGCTATGAACGTAAACATATCAGAAATTGGCTTTCCTGTATTGTTGATGCCGTTCTGCCCGAAACCTGCAAACCATCTTTAGCTAACTTTCTTTGACTGATTGAATCTCTAACTCTTTTCACCCAACGGTCCATTGGGTCTTGACTGTAAGTTCCCTTTATCATGAGAACAGTGTGAATCATATACGCTGCATGCATATGATTGTTCATAAACTGCTTAAGGACAATAATAGTGAAGAAATAGCATAAGTAATGTGTTAAAAAGTAATCTTTCTAAAAAGAAAAAGTATTTCGCATCTGAAACCCCTTGGGTTTGACGCATTTTTTGATCACTATAGAAATATTAGTCATGTGAGGTTTGGGGAATGAGTGTAATGGAGGACAATTTGGTTGCATTTACACTTGACATTAACATGTAACCTATATCCGGATGTTGTTCATTAAAAAGACAAGTGTTAATGCATTTCTGATAGAATTGTTATTTGATAGCTTGTCCTGGTTTAGAGGTAGTTGAGAATGTATTGTGATCGAATCTCAGTTTAATATAAACGTTACAAGCAGAAGATAATATAATTGAATTGTACTCAATGGACATTCTTCTGTAGATTACTTATATATAGTTATTATTTAGCCACAATCCTAAAGAGCCCTGCCAAACTGTTACCATGGGAACAAAAAGGAAGCAGAGTCGATCCTCTTTTGCCTCGGCACCTCACAAAAGTCTGTTTACTCAGCTTCATCATCATCTTCACGCAGGGTAGATTATACTTTTGGTAGAGTAATACATTTCATCTAAATATAATTGATGCAAAATGTCAAACCTTTAATCTGCAGAATTAAAAAAAAAAAATCACAAACTTGGCAACGCAGCATCATGGGTAGTAAAACAAAACATATTTGTATTCTTGCCTTCCTTACATGGCAAAAGCTCCTGATAAATCCACATAAACTCCAAAATAAATTAGTAACATTCAGTGGATGTGCACTTTGTTGATTGTTACTAATGTACTTGCAAAGGCTTTATTCACTGAGCTCAGAACCCATCTGACAGGCTAATGTGCTCATAATCATTTGTGATTGGTCATAATGCTTTCCACAATAACAACGTCTGGCTTGTTCAGATGGAGCAAATTCAGCCTTCTGAAGAAGAAACTTTCAGTGGAATTGAAGTTTAGTGCTTTATTATAAACAAAAAAACAAAAAATATTCCTTGGCTAGTCTGGTAGTCTCAGCAACAGACATTTTATTACGTATTTTACTTGATAGGTATTTATAGAAAATTCTCTGATAAAGTGTTAAAAGCCTTATTCCTATAAAACCAAATCAATCATTTGTGATATTAATCACCACAGGATTGCTATGGCCATGAATAAAGTATAAGAAAGAGTGAAAAAAAGAACAGCAGTAAAGACTTCATACTTACAGTATAAAGAGACTAATTGAACTACTCAAGGACGGCAACTGATTCAATCTAATCAGTCTAGAGGGTTTAATTAATTGTATGTATTGTGCTTTAACAATACAAAAGGTTTCATTAATTAATTAACAACTGCTCATTTTTTAAAGAAATTAAAGCTTTTGTTAACAAATGTGTGACAGATAGGTTACAACAGTTGTTCTTTGAATAAATGTGAGAAACAGAATCCTTTTATAAAGCTGAAACAGTGGGTAAATTATGGACTTAGCCACACTGCAATCTGGCAAGTCAGACAAAACATTTCTTGACAAAAACTCCTGATTTATTCACAAAACTCCAAAAAATATTTGTAACATTCACTGTGTGTGCACTGTGTTGTTTTTTACTAGTGTATTTGCAAAAAATCAAGCTTAACAGAAGCATTGTGATTGGTCATTATTTTTTCTATCATAACAATGTCTGGCATGTTCTTTAGCTTTTCAGAAATGATCAGTTTTGTTAAAAAAATATTTTATAACTAAATAAAAAATATTTATAAAATAAATGTCTTAACTTTGTATTGAATCATTTTAATCTAAGAATCCTGAAAATATATATAAATAAATTTCAATCAAAAACTGCAAAAAACAAAAAAACAAAATGGTACATACATTTAATAATACTAAGGGCTCTATCTTAATGATCTAGGCGCAAAGTCTATAGCATTAAGGTCATATCCGAATCAACTTTCGGACTATTTTAAGGACGTAAAAATACGCTCTGTGCCATGGCATATGGTCTAACAGGGTTGTGCTTAATCTCTAAATGAGTTATGGGAGTGTTTCGAAAATAAACCAATCAGAGTCTCATCTCCCATTCCCTTCAAGAGTCAGTTGTGTCATGCCATAGCACATTTGCTATTTACATGGCAGATTTTGTAAGTGGAAAAACTAAACGCTTCACTAGCAAGAAAACAGTTAAACACATCATCTGTTTAGCGCGAGGATAAAGAATGAGCCTTCTCTAATCTGCCTTTACTTTCACTTTCACTTTCTTTCTTTAGTGGATAAGAAAACAGTGTTGTACGTTTCACTAAAGACATCCATTTGCCTACATAAATACTTTTTGTTTGTTAAGTGCAAAGATTTGTTTCAAAACTATTTCTAAATTCAGTTCTAATTTCCAGTAAACGAATAAATGAGCAATAATAATGAAGTGTGGTCAAACTACTGAGCTACATACCAACACACGTGCTATGCCCCATATGGCCAAAACCTGACAGGTGGACAAATCTAAGCTTGTTTTCAATAAAACAAATATAAAAATGCATATAATAAGTAACACTAATAATAACATTAAACAAAAGCAAATTGTCGTGAACTAAAAAAGCCCACCGAGATAAATAAGGCAGGGAGGCAGTGATTTTTATATATACGTAGAATATAATAATTTTTGTAATATTTTAATCCTTTAATTCTGTTTCATTTGTAAAGATGATTGCGTATTGCTGTACATCCTGCGTGTTTTAAGCAATGTATAAGCGAGGCGCACAACTAATGCACTCTGCGCTGGAGTTCCTCAAAATAACAACGCAAAAACAATGAACCTTAACACACCTCTTTTCTAGACCACAACACCCATGAGTCCACAAAGTGGCGCAAATGGATTTACTATTTAAAAAACGTGGCGGAAAACAGGAAAATTAATGTTGTGGTGGTCTGAAAATATTAACAAGTCAGAGCAATCACATCTTGTAATGTAATGTAATGTGTATTTATATAGCGCATTTATTGTGTATGGCCATACACCCAAAGCGCTTCACAATCATGAGAGGGGGGGGGTCTCTCCACACCACCACTAGTGTGCAGAATCCACTTGGATGATGCGATGGCTGCCACAGGACAACGGCGCCAGTGCCCTCACCACACACTAGCTATTGGTGGAATGAAGTGACAGTGATAGAGCCAATTCGGTGGATGGGGATGATTGGGAGGCCATGATCGTAAGGACCGATAAAGGGACTTTGGCCAGGACACCGGGGTTACACCCCTGCTCTTTTACGAGAAGTGCCATGGGATTTTTAATGACCACAGAGAGTCAGGACCTCGGTTTTACGTCTCATCTGAAAGACGGATAGGACGGAAGGACGGTCTTGCGCTGGTAGTATGATAGGCCCCTAAATTGAAAATTTGAATGATAAATAAATCAATCTGAAGCTCAGACACGCTAATGCATTGAAGCAGCTTTTAGCCCATGCCAGAGTATGTGCATGTGATGTGCGTTTTCAACTGTGCAGTGTGGATAGAGAACTTTTCAGAAATGCTACGTAAATGGACCACTAGTGTGAACCGTTTGCATTCTAAAACGCTGTTTAAAAACTAAAACACATCAGTGTAAATGGGTCCTAATGTGCTCGGATCCACAAAACTCTTTAGTTTTGGCAAACCTAAAAATGGAAAACCCATGTCTCTGAACAATTCTTCTTCTATCAGGTTTAATTGCGGTTGGCAACACAACTTGGAAGGTGCATCTCTGGACACCGTATCAGCTAAAAAGCGATAAAGCTATCTCATGCTATCTCATAATAATAAGGTCGCATCTCATTCACAATAAAGTGTGCTGATTGAACCAACTCTTTCTCATGAATTAATGCATAGAATGCTCATGAAAACTCAATGAAGCCACCGTGTACTGCCGAGTACTGACAACCAATCATCACGCTGGAATTTACACAATGACCTCATTGATATGACTTAAAGGAATTTGCTTTAAGCAATCTATTTTTACTTGTTAGTTAAATTGAGTATATGTGTCCTAATAGTGTTTTTAGCATTGTGGCACATGCAGTAGAAGTCAGAGTTATTAGCCCCCCTGAATTATTAGACTGCTTGTTTATTTTTTCCCCAATTTCTATTTAACGGAGAGAGAAAAAATTCAGCACATTTCTAAACATAATAGTTTTAATAACTCATTTCTAAAAACTGAATTATTTTATCTTTGTCATGATGACTGTAAATAATATTTTACTAGATATTTTTCAAGATACTTCTATACAGCGTCTATACTTCTATAAGCCTTTAAATGTCATTTTAAGCTGTATAGAAGTGTCTTGAGAAATATCTAGTAGAATATTATTTACTGTCATCATAGCAAAGGTAAGATAAATCAGTTATTAGAAATGAATTATTAAAACTATTATGTTTAGAAATGTGTTAAAAAAATTTCTCTCTGTTAAACAGAAATAGGGGAAAAAAATCTGTCTATCAACATCTCAAAAAAATATGTTTTAGGGTTTCATGACCCTTTAAGTGTAAGGTGTGCGGCCTAGACTTTAGGTTGGGTTAGTTTGTCTATGTAAGAATACTTTTCAGTCAGTCTATTGCGATATTACCTCATGAGAGCTTGGACTTTGGCAGCATGTCTCTCCTCAAGCTCGGCCAGTCTCTTCTTCAAGCCGTCCACCTCCTGTCTGAGTCCAGCAGAGTGCTCCATCTCCCCATCCAGGAGACCACGCAGAGACCTGTGCCAAAGCAGTTTAACAACAGTAAGTCACACACAAAATCACAAACACACACACACACACACACACACAAACACACAAACACACACACACACCTGACCTACTTTTCCTTAGCTGTCTTTAATAACTACCGGTGCACAAGATAATTTCCCAGCAGCACTTTATTGACTGGGCACATTTTCACAAACAGGCTACAAAATAAGGCCTGACACTCACTAACAATCAAGTCATTTCTTTTTTTAGTGAAAGAAGGTGCTTCAACTTCAGCAGTCTCAGCAGTTATTTATGTGGTCTGCGATTCTTGCAAAACTTGATGTATAGTTGCATTACTGTTTAAATATTTGATGCTTCTTTAAAAAATTTGTGCTCACCAAAATTGCATTAATTTGACTATTATAGAACTATCATTAATACACACACCAATATACACAGTAGAAGGCATAATTATTAAGCCCTCTGGTGAAATTTGAACTCTTCTTCAAATATTTCCCAAGTCATGTTTAGTTTTTCACAGTATTTCTTAAATATTTTTTAAACATTACTTTGAAAATATTTTTAAAAGACTAAAACGTTCACAGAAGGGCGACACATTTGGACTTGAACTGTACATACATACAGTGCTTAGCATAAATGAGTACACCTCATTTTGAAAATGAATATCTGTATCCATTTCTCAGTGAATATGGGTAATTTATGCAGATTTGTTAAACATAAATATTTATTAAAATAATATTTCAGTCACAGATCTTTAGAAACGGAAAGATATTACATTTATACAAAAAATACAAACTAAAACATTTTAATAAAATTTTTGATTTTTTTTTTTTGTTTGTTTCTCTTGATTTTTGCTATTTTTGACATTTTTATTTAATATTTTTCCATTACATAATTTTCGGCTACTAATTTTTGAAACATTGTTGTAAGTTATTTTGTTAGATTAGCTCCAAATTTGGCTTCAGTACAGACTAATCTAATGCATATGCACAAATAGAATATTGTAAAGCTTCCTATAGAAAATATTAATTTAAATGAGAGATTTGTGTGGGGTGTACTCTTATGCTGAGCACTGTACGTATGTACATACGTACATACATACATACATACATTCATTCATCCAAGCATCCATCCATTCATCGATACATACATACAGTTGAAGTCAGAATTATTAGCCCCCCTGAATTATTAGACCCCGTTTATTTTTTTTTCTCTAATTTCCATTTAATGCAGATAAGATTTCTTCCACACATCTCTAAACATAATTGTTTTAATAACTGATTTCTAATAACTGCTTTATTTTATCTTTACCATGAAGACAGTAAATAATAATTTACTAGATATGTTTCAAGACACTTCTATAAAGCTTAAAGTGAAATTTCAGGGCTTAACTAGGTTAATTAGGTTAACTAGGAAGGTTAGAGTAATTAAGCAAGTTATTGTATAATGATGGTTTGTTCTGTAGACCATCAAAAAAATAGCTTAAAAGGGCTAATAATTTTGTCCTTAAAATGGTGTTTAAAAATGTATAACTGCATTTATTCTAGGTAAAATAAAACAAAAAAGACTTCCTCCAGAAGAAAAAATATGATCAGACATACTTTGAAAATTTCCTGGCTCTGTTAAACATAATTTGGAAAATAAAATAATTTAAAAACAATTCAAAGGGGGGCTAATAATTCTGACTTTAACAGTACATACATACATACATACATACATACATACATACATAATTCTGATATAAGATCTAACTTTAGGATATTTTGTCATTCTTCAATATAAATATCGCGATATGAATATAATTTCACTAAATATCTCCATTTGTGAAGAATTTAGATTTTTAAGTTGATTGGAAAGAAGATTCTGTAGGGGAGCGCATCTGCATAAAATATAATAAACAATCTAAAAGCATAGATGAATACAGCAGAGCAAAAGATATAAAGAAATTTTTGTTTAATAGTTTTAGTCCAACAGTATTCAGGTACAGTAACTGAATAATCAAACACTTTTCATTTCATATATATATATATATATATATATATATATATGATTCAAATAAATGTAAATACAAATAAGCTTGAAGATTGGAGTGATAAGGCTATTAGACAGTGATGTTATTCAAGATGGTTTGATTCTTGCATTCCAACAGTTTGGGGTTTCTAATGAGCACTTTTTTTTTTAAGTATCTTAAGTATCTTACTGGGTTTCAATGATGATATACCTTTTCATTTTCAAAACAGAGACCTTCTACATATTTTGGTTTACTTTGCTCTGAAATGTATCCTTGTAAAGTGGATTAATAGCCTGCAACATCCCACCTGAGACTTTCTCCACAGCTAAATAGAACAAATCTTTTCTATTTTATCAGACCTGGGGTCCATTCTTTGATTATCTAGGAACCTCGAAGACTAAAAACTTGTCTGTAATAAATAAAATTTAATCTGCCTTTTTGTAAAATAATTTTGTATTTAATGTCCTTATTTTTTATTTAATTTTATTTTTGTTTGCTTAATTTTTTTATTATAATTTTTCATGTGGGGTTTAGGATTCAAATTACCTGACTGATGGATATTATTATTATTATTGTTATTATTTTTGCACTAAAAATGGTCAATAAAAACACATTTGAAAAAATAAAAGTTACAAATGGTACAATTTCTTAGGCCTGAATCCTTGCAAATTATAAGTTATAATCCCGAAGCAAAATTGCAGATCTTGAATGATCACATCACAATATCGATGCTGAAACTAAACATTGTGCAGCCCTACTTTCCGGTATGCCATCAGTAAAGGTAATTTAGAAATTCCTACGTGTTCTGCTCAGTGAGTTCATCTTTTCGGTTCATCATGGCCACAATGGCTTGCCGCAGTTCAGCTGAGGAAAGAAATGTACAGTACATTATAAAGGTATAAAAACCTACTCAAAATGAACAATGGCTTTTTTCTCTCAGCCAGCTATGAAAAAAACTTGACTTCTGAACAATAAGACTCAATATCTTGGTGGGATTTCATGTCCCACACCCATCTTCATTCCTTCAATAAGGGTTACTGTTTTATACCACTGACATTTTCATTTGTGTGGCACCACAGAACTAATAAAGAGAACTACACGAGGCTTAAAATACCAACCAGACATTAATTTCTTTAAAATGAAGGTGACGTGAAAGGGTAAGGCATTTATAACACAGCCGTAAGGGAAGCCTTGGAAGATTTAGTCTCAAAACAAATTAGTCTGGGAATAATCTGAGAGAAACATAAAGCTCTAACTGGGAAGCATTATTAAAGCATTTCAAAACACAAGAAATGGCAACACTCGGTACAGTCTAAATCCAGACTTTCATGGCGAGTGAGGAGGAGAGGAAAAACTGAGAGACAGAGAGTGAGTTTCTTTGTTGTCGCTGCACTCTCAAAAGCTGGATAACCTAGCTCTGGATAACCTAGATAACCCCAACAACATGGCTCCGAAAGACAAAGTCTGAACACTCCTATCAGTGCATTATCATTTAATGAATCTCAGAGGAACCGCAGGCTTGGACGGAACCATCTATATAAACCTGGCTGGCCTGATTCACATTTAACAAGCTTAAAGCTCTCTCAGCAAAAGAAAGTCAAAGATGTCTTTGTTATTTTTTGAAGAGGAACAACACTGGTATCTTTGAACTGCGATGTAGCTCAATTACCGTCTCCCTGAAAGAAAAAGCTTATCAGACCACTAGAGATCAATTTGGCATCCAAAGGCGTAATCAGAAACCGCTTCAGTAAACCTATGTGCGACATTTCTTTCAAAAACTAATTCCAGAATTAACAGTGACAAGAAAAGGATTGCATTTGTTTTATGATCTACTTTTTCGATGTGGTTACTGTAATAATGTTGGCCAAGTGGTACACTCAGGACCTGAGAAGTTTTGTTTTTTTTAAAGAAGTGTGAATTTGATTTTACCTCATTAAAAAAATACAGGGGCAGGCATGCAAAAAATGGTCTCAAATGAATATAGTAAATTAAAGAAATACTCCTAAGGCTAAAAGCAACTGCTACAACTGAGAAATTACACCTCTCAAAAAAATATAACGTCAACCCTTGAGGAATAAATTATCTAAAAACAAAGAGAAAAAAATAATTCAGCAATAAAACTTGAATTAATATAAAATCCAAAATAATACTATTTTAATAACCAAACAAATTTACACAGAATTTAAGTAATTTGTAAAGTATGCAAATAAGTTTCTTTGTTTATTGAATGAGATAGTGTCGTTAAAAGTTCTGCTGGAAAAAATCCCCCTGTATCATTAAATAAAGAGTAATGGGCAACAATGCTCATGGGCGGTGTCACAGTACCAATGCCAATAACCTTAACATTTTGGAACTAACTATTCAATATCTGGAACAAAACAAAACCAAACTCAGTTCTCTGGTTTTACTACTTTTTAGGTATACAATATTTTTTGTGAAATCTCTTCTATAAAAATATGATAATATTTCTTCCAATTTTCCAATAAACACACTTTCATTTAGAGATTTTGTTTTTAAATCTGAAAGTGCACTGTGATTAAAATTATTAAAACTGATTCTTTAACGAAATAGTCAACTCAGAGTCGAATAAATAAATGGTGTTGGGATGGAAACTCTCGCCTGAACGCGTCAACGTCGATACAGTACATCACCAAACATGTAGTACAAGATCCAGTAAAACGTGAAAGAGCTTTTCCCTTCAGATACTAGCGCATAGGATCACGGGACTGATCATGACAGGAAGATGACCATCACTGATAGACGGAGTTTTGGCTGTGGAAAATAAAAGGTTAAAGTTCATTTTCACAACAATACCACAGTATAGCCAAACTAGTGCTGTGCATGTTCCTGTCATTTTTCTGATTTTTGATACAACAACCTACCCTGCAACATGGGCAGAGACTATTATGTCTTGGACTTTGTCTGACTTTGACAGGGACTTTGTCAGTAACTGTTGCAGTTCATATGAACCAGTTTCTTCTTCCTCCGCATCATAGCATGCAATTGTAATTAATTGTTGTCTTGTTTTCTGTAGTTTTCAAAATATGTGTTCTATTGTGTGTTGTAACTTCGCTCTGTGCAGCTTGTAATCCCTTATCCATTATAGATCAGTGCTTGTCTTTTATCTCTCCTGTTAAATCTTTATGGGGCTGTTCTCATATTGCGTCCAAAACCATGTTGAATACGCAACACTTGCTTCTTCCTTTACCGATTTAAATGCATTTCTGAACTCGCGATCCTCTGCCATTTGTCTTTGCTATGGCCACCATCAGCTGTTCTTTACACGCAAGGTGTGGACAATTTTCAAATTAGTTAAGTTTTTGCCACTGTGTGGAATAATACTGAATGTGTGTCATTGCTATTTCTTGCAATTAGGGATAAGAGTATAGTAATATGCTGGTGTTTAACTCCATTGCTTTATTGCCTTCCTGCATTCAGCTCTCACATACTTTGTGCTACTTCATAACCTTGTTGGCCGTTTCTCTCTGCCTTAAGCTGAACCCAGTCGACCAATCACAACAGACTGGGTCATCGGACAAATCAGCACAGATTAGCCTCACAAAAAGGAGGGGTTTAGAAACAAACTAATTGCTGAACAATGCGTATAGGATTTCTTGGGATAATTAGGTAAAAGTAAATGCACATTACAAGACAATGAAAGTGTTTTTTTTACCTTGCATGCATATCAGTGTGTCGTAGGAGACCCCCCAAAATCAAAATATGACCTTTTTATAATGCATAATAGGGGTTCCTTAAACATTGTGTCATGATTATGCCAGGCATCCACACTATACCCTCTTCAACTCGTAAAAATGGAGAGATTTAAAAAGTGCTAAAGACTCTATTTTAGTTTGCTGGTTTGATTCAAAAGACTGAAATGCAGACTTTTGAAAATCAAGGCAATCAACAATCACTCTCTGTCTGGTCTTTTGCACTATTGCATACTGGCTGTATAGTGTGGATAGAGATATGGAGAAGTATTTTCACAAAGCAGTTTTTAAATGAAAAAAACACTAGTGTAAATGACACCTAAAAACACAAAGGGATGGTCCACTATTGTATCATATTTTAAACTATTTGATGTGTAATGAAGCTGTGTGAACAACATCTCTGAATGTAATATGCGCAAAGTTCAATACAAAGGGAGACATTGGCTTTTACAGAGATAGCTTAGTAAAGCCTACAGTGAATGAATTTGGGGACTACAAAAAATACATCCAGGCTAATGAGATCACAAGGGCTTCCAGTTACATGTATTCACCTCACACACAAACCCTGCACAGCGAAGGAGCGTGGCAAGAGGCGCTTGTGAAATTCATTTTAGCAGTAAAAGCTAAAATGTCATCAAAACACTGTTATTTATATTTTATTTAGGTATTTTGACTTGACAAGGACTTTTCACATTAAAAATTTGCCACAGGTTTCATTAGATGGTTGGGTTTAGGGGTAGGGCCATTTAATAAGCGTTTTTTTTTTAAGTAAAAAAATACATTATGTTATTGGTTGAGCCTGTAAACCATGTAGGAGAGGGATCTGGCGTAGAATTCTTGCCCTCTCCCACAACCCCTCATCTGGAAGAGGAGAAACACACCAGAGTGAGGTGGTCCAAATATGTTTGTAATCCTGAGAGGAAGCAGACAGAAGCGAGTACAGCAGGCAAAGCTTTGACTTCCTTCCCAGAAAGCAAGGTTCACAGACAGCAGCCAGAGACACCTGGCACGGATTCACATTTAGCACAGGCTTTTCATCAAAGGCTATTTACGGTGTATTATCTGCATGGAGATTCCCTCTGGAGTAACCTGGGATTAAGTGTCTGCTCAAAAGCACAATGGGGTCAACCCTACTCGGGACTGAACTTGGAGCGGTTCAACTTCCTCTCAGGACATCTGCATTGTTTTTTATTAAAGTGCCCCTGTTATGGATTATAAAAGGTTAGAATTTGAATTTGCGAGCACTCAACAACACGCTGATCTGCATGCAAGGTCAAAAAAACACTTTCATTGTCTTATAATATTCATTTACTTTTACCTAATTATCCTAATGACTCTGATATCACTTGTTTAGAGACTCATTTTTCCAAATGCCTCATTTGCATGAAGCTAATCTGTGATGATTGGTTTTGTTATTGGTCAACTGAGTGGATCTACACCAACCACATCTTTTCAAGACAGGGTCGATGAAGGAACAAGCACAAGCAGCCATGGTACAGAGTTTGCATGTGAGCCCAATCTGCATTGATAAAGCAATGCAGTTAAATCAGCTAATCGCTCTTTTCTTAACCATAACTCGAAGTAATAACAGCGATACACTGTACATTCAGTATTGATTAACTGACACACTGGCAAAAGTTTTGGATTTTGATTGCGGTGTGCATGAGCTTGTCAGAGGTGCTTTCTGATTGGCGCGGTTTAAACCACTTAAATGAAAGCAACAGTAAATGGGTTTCCATGTCCGGTGTAAAAGCACAGCTAATGGCAGCATAGCAACAACAGAGATTCTGAGCTTGAAAGCACATTAAAATTGGTAAGCTAAAAGTAAAATTAAAAAAAATAAATAAAAAGCTGCACACCTAGCGTTTACTCACTATTTTAGAAGCGATATGTACATATCTCTACAGCCAGATAACCAGACAGTTGTCTCGGACGGCACTGCCAACAGACCAATGGCTAAAAGTCTGAAGCATATACAGTACTTTTTCTGGAAGACCGTTTTCTGATTGGTTTGAATATACAGGATTTCCGTGAGTCAAGTGTGCAGCAATCTTTATTAACCCACCTGAAAACAAGTCTTAACAGATAAAAAGCTGTGATGTTTATATTGATGACAGTGCTCATTATTAATGTATAAGTTTCTGAGACTATCAT